TAACTTGTAATTATATATATTTTTTTCAGTAAACTACTTGTGAGCACAAAGTAATGGTAGAGTCAAACATGGATAAGATCGTGTTTATTTAGTGATGTCTGACAAGTAGAGAAAGTAAAAAGATTTTTTAAAAATGTATAATTTACATTTATATAAATACTTTAAGGGAGAAAGGTTGAACACATATGGTGACATTAGAAGAATGTATGCATTTACATTTGCACCCTACCTCATAGCCTGACAAATTAGATGCACATATGTATACACACATATCTCGTTTGTGAATGTGCATAATTAGGGCCCAAGGATTAGTTATGAGCAGGTCTATAATAAATTGTAAACCCCCATAAAACCTGTGTCAGTATGCCATCACACTATGTTGGTTTTCTCCTTCTTTTTCAAAATTTCACTACAAGCAAATCTGAAAGTCATCAAGGGTTGTAATCAGGTGCTTTGGGCCACGGTTCACTCATCAGTGAGATGAGAGGATCTTTGCTGACATGCTCTGCTTCTTCTGAATTTAAAAAAAAAACAACAACAAAAAAAACTAGCGAGCCTCAGCAGCCTCCAGCACATACAAACGTGTGAGGGCTGGTGGGGGCTGCTCATCATCATCTCTGTATTAGGGGGAGTTTTCTGTTTGGCTTCTTTCTATTAGAAAGGAGTCAGTTTGTCTGAAATGGAGCAAGTTTGTGACACCAGCCCACTTAATTAACAAACCTTTCATGACTGTAGATACAACTTGTTTCCTAGGGTACAATTAAACAAAGAACTAACAGTCTCTAGGTTTCAAGTTGAAGAGCTATGTTTCCACAGACCTTGGACTTGGAAGATCAGAGCTTGAGCTACTCAAAAAAAGCTCAACAGAAACCCCAGAAGTCAAACCTCAATATATGGTGAACTATTTGTATGATGATATGGTCAGTATGATTCTGGACTTCACTGTGTCATTCATTACAGTGACATTTTCTTGAAATGGTACTAGCACATAACAAAATAAGATGAGTGTAATGTGATAATCTACACAGCGAAACCTATATTTGATTTCTTAAATTTATAGAAATTTTCATTTATAGTAAACACTATAGAATAGTAAGTCATCCCTAAGCACTATCCTGAGCTTACCTTGATTCCAAGTTTACAGTTAATCATATCTTTCATTAAAAACAAACAAACAAACAAACAGATATAACCGACCTCATATGACCACAGAAAATACATAGGACTCAGGGGTGAAATAATAATTCTCGTAGTTTCTCATATATTCTTTCGATGGTAGGCCATGCAGTAGCTACAGTTTGCCTCTGTAGGTATGCTTCTCTGCGGACCCATGTTACATGTTCCCTCTGCCAGTGTTTGGCTTTAACTCTTGGAGGAAGGCCTCGTTGTTATGAGGACAGTTGTTGTGACAGGTGCAGGTCCCGATGACCATCACTGGTTTCTTGATGACCTGCCCTGGGGAGCACTGGAACTCCACCTGGATGGTTTTGGTGTTGTGTGGGGTGCAGCATCGGCCATCGCTGCAGACCCCGCAGTACCTGGGCTTGTAGGCATGCAGGCTCGTGCAGTTCTTGAACTGCAGGTGGATGGCTTTGAGTGACTTCGTGGTGCGGAGACACTTTTTTCCTTTCTAAGAAAGAAGAAAGAGGGATGAGGTACGAGATGGCTACCATTCCTCCAAGGGACCATTTTAGGGGTGTGGAATAACTTGCTAGTGGCCTACCCAATATCCATTGCTCTTTCTTCTTTGCTAACAGAACGTCAGTTTTGTTTGGGCAATGGGGTCAGCTAAAGGCATTTGCTTCCCCAGAATATCTGGGAGGTTGGGATGGCCTTTTGACAAAGTTCTGGCTAGCGATACATTATCCAAAGGATTCTAGATAATCCTTTGCCCTTCTTTATTGTTTTCTGCCTTCATTTTCCTTCTTGCCTGGAATGTGAAGACCTTGCCTAATCATGCACAACCATCTTTTGATCTCGCAGCGAAAAATACGAGGGTGAAAGTCTATCTACGATAAAGAAACCGATATCTTCAAGCCACTGCAGCAGGATTTGGTGTTGTTTTTAGCCAAACGCATTCTTAGGTGTTATAAAGAGAAGGGAAATAAATGACATCATTGCAATCTTACTAATATTTCAAATATTTTTCAAACATTAACTCGCTTAACCTTACCAACAATGTTCACTCATACAAGGAACAACTATTAACATAAAGAACAATTGCTCAAGTTTTATAGATAAATAAACGGAGTCTCAAAGGGCTAAAGTGATCAGAAAACCTCTATTAATTGAACTTGTCTGATGCAATGCCCATTCCATGCCATTTCCGTGACACGGAAAAGCTTTATTTTAAGAAGTTACTGTGTCCTCGATGGTATGTAAGGGCTTCTTGTTTCTTCTTTTTTCATATTTATTGTTTAATGTATATTCTTGCCAAAACCCACACAAAAAAGTATAAGATCAGCAGCATCCCTCTGTTTGTGTGTGTGAGTATGTGAGTATATGTGTGAGAGAGAGAGAGAGACAGACAGACAGACAGACAGACAGACAGAGAGACAGAGAGACAGAGAGTGCGTGCTACTTGGATAAACCCCTGCCATTCCAGCCATCCCAAGTGAGGCGTGAGACTTGTGAGCAAAGAAGCTCTTTCTAAACTAGTGAAAGAAACATAAAGTTAGGATGGACCTCAAAAAGTCACATAGCCTGGCAGCCATGTAACGAATGCAACCACTAGAAGCTCTTTTATTTTAGCAATAAATAGAATTTTTGAGTAATGATGTCTGATGTTAAAAGAGTAATCTATACTTAGTACTTTGCCAGTTCATTCTCTATACCTCCTGACACCTTTTGAGGTACGTACTGTCTGTCAATGACCCCATTATATGGGAGAAGGAACTGGGGCTTAGAGTTTAAGAAAGTTGCCCCAAATTCCACAGCTAGTTCATGTGGGAAGCTGAGATTCAAAGCCAGGCTGGCCGCCTCCTTACGCATTTGATTATATTGCCTCAGTGTAGAGATATGTAAATCTTTCATTGCAAGAGACGGTTTGATGTTGGCCTTGGTTTGTACAAGAGTCCATATAATAGTTCAATTTGGGCATTGCATTTATCTAGGGTTCTGGTAACAAGGCCTGTGATGTCATCAGGAACAAATCCAAGCTTCTGATCCACATGTCTTACACTCAGCGTTAACACACTGAGTTGATATAATACCAGCAAAAAAGGAAAGAAATGTGCTATTTTGTTTGGCATATATCGCCTTATCCTGGCAAATGTACTAGTCCTACTTGGCTTTTTAAAATGCTGAAAATAATTCCCAGACACTCATTCATTTCTTCATCGACAATTTTTTTATCGAGCACACACTTTATCCCAGGTAGGATGTTGGGGACTGAGGGTGAGTAAGGCAAATGTAATCCCTCCTCTGTTGCTTGGTACAGATTGAACCTAAGGGGAAAAGGAGATTAAGGTCAGAAATGACCTCTCGCAAATCAACTACGCTTGAGAAGTGAGTAGCCAGTTTTTGTTTGTTTGTTTGTTTGTTCTTTCCGGAAATGGAGTGAGATTTGCCATACCCTTCTCAGTTGGGGACGCTTTGATAATTGTCTGACTTCTCTTTACCTGTGGACCTGCTGTGAGTTGATTGGGATATTGTAATACATTGAAGAGAGAGAGAGAAAAATAAAGGAAGGTAAATTCACTCATTTCAGGAACCTATGGTTAACTCTCAGCTAGAACTGACCTCTAGTCAACTAGCATCACAGTGACTTCCTAAAGCCCAGGCCCCAGTGAGGCCAGGCCACATCCTCTGTGATGGAGGCTTCTTCCAGGCTCCTACCTTTTCTGCTGGTTGCTTGTGCTCTTGTTCACAGGGCCGCACCATGCAGAGGCGAGTCTGCTTCACCATTTCGCACTGTGGATTCCTGTTGGTGACTCTGGTAGACAAGCCCATGCCACAGCTCTTGGAACACGCGCTCCACTCCGTGGTCTGTTCAATGCAGTTGCTACTTGAGTCAGAGACTGAAACTCCTAGGGTGGCTTCTGTCCTGTAAGCTATGAGATATATAAATAAAGACAGCTATGTTGAGTAAAACATGGGGATCACCAAATGGTCTTTCCTGTCATCGTTAGAAAGAGGGTCTCAGCCAAGTGTTCTCGGGGATGGAGCTGGATCTCTGTATTTATAAATCTCCAGCAAGATGCACAATGCCTGGCACATTGTAGGTTTTCAAGAAATCTCTGTGGAATGACTGTCTGGCTTGTCCTTAAGCTTAGGAGAACCTGTCTTTAAGAAGCTTAGTAATTTTAAGAATGTAGAACAGCATAGCATCAACGACCATTGCATAAATGATGATGTTTTCAATATGTGATTTCATACAGAAGAAGGATCATGATAAAATTCTGATTGGATGAGTAAGTAGGACCAACCAAGTCAAAATAGTGATGAAAGCGATACCATGCCTCAGAAAGGTGGAACTGGTTGATTGGGTTATGGGATATAGGCACCTGGACTTTGATCACAAAAAGTTCCGTCTCGACACTTAGTATCATGGTTTGGGGCACATCTCCTCTGCTACGTGGCAGTTTTCCGAGCTGTAAGGCATGGCTAATAATTTTTGACCTCAGAAAATCTGTAAAGCTCTGAATAGTGCCAGTGTATATAATCTGGCTGATTAACAGCTTCTAAAATATTCTCTGCTAGTTCTTGAGTTTTTCCCCCCCCAAAAATGATTTCCTTTATAAGGTGACACAAAAAGAAAAGCAAAACACAGATCCTCAAGTGTCACTTGACCCTTCCTACAGCATCTAGAAAGATGACATTTCTTAGTGACACCTGTCAGTGATGAGTAGTAGCATTCTTTAGGGAGGCTGGTCTTGAGACCATACAGATGGTGTACAGAATCCATAAAGAAAGTGATTTTTTTTAAACTTTTATCTTTATAATGTTAATAAGGGTCAAGTGGGATGCACTAAAATATAAATAGTATTCGGGCAATAAGACAGTCAGTCCCATTGCTGAAAAGAACTGCTGAACTTTTGAGAAACTGTGCAGGTACTTCGGTCCCTTGGCTAGGACGCAGACCTGTGATGGGTCTGATCTCAGTGGGCAATCTGGAATCCATGGTCAGATGACCGGAAGCTGAGGCCAGTTTCTCATTGCAAATCCAAAAGAGCACACACACTTCCTGCCTGCCTGTATCTTGTGCTGTAATCGCTTTCATGTATCCTGGGTTCCTCACCTGGCAGGGCGTGCAGGTCCCCTAACGCCTCTGTCTCATTTGAGTCACAGATCCACTTTTCACAGCACTCTCCAGGCACTTCAACTTTTCGTGGAGCGGGGCAGTCAGGCTGTGGCAGCAGTAGGTCTTCATCACAGCGGGGCACACAGCCAATCTGCCCATCTTGGCAGGTGCACTGGTATTTGCAGCTCGGTTGGAAGGTCTCTCCGCTTTGATAAATGACCCCATCGAACACACAGTTATCTCCTTCTATCGCTAGAATATTGGGGAAGAAAGGCAGAGAGGGAAAGGGAGAGAAAAAAACAAGAACATAATGCTTTGGATAAGCTGCATGAGATTTGTAGCACACGTTCCAAACCCTAAGTCATTCTTTGTCTAGTCGAGACAACCTGGTTTTTTAATCCATCTCCAGCAGAAAGATGTCCTCGCCGAGGCCTCCCAGAGTAGGAAGCAGCCTCCAAGACCATCCAGTCCTGCCAACTCACTCACGGATGAGGAAAGAGGAGAGCGACTGAGAAGCGACACTCCCCAAGTCCCACACCTGTTGTTCCCAACGATAAAGTCAATTTTGCAAGGACCTCCTTAGAATCTCCTACTCCAGCAGCTTAGAATGAAAAGGAAAAAAAAATGCATTCTACAAATAGGTTAACTGGTCAGATTAGGAAGAGCATTAGGATTCCTTGGTATTCCAACACACACACACACACACACACACACACACTCCACCCCACCCCACCCCCCCATCTCACTCAGCTTTATTCCTGAGTGATAACAAATGGTCTGTGAGTTAGACCTAATTACATGGTAGGCAAAAGCCTACGTTTTATCAGTGGCCAACTGATTTATAGTATTAATGTAAAGAAAAGCATCTGTTGATATGAATTTGTCTTATTTTAGCAGACAAATAATGAATTTGGTAATATTTATGTAAATGAAAGTTTTACCAAACCCAAGGGAAAAAGAATGAAGCTTCTGGTTGACCATGAAATACTTCAAGCGTTCCTTGTGTGTAGCCTCCTTTCTTTCATGGATAGACTTTCCTCCATACGGGCGCCAGGGACACCTGATCCCACCGTTTCATGTTTGTTTTCAGGATCAGTTCAGTGATATGAGAATCAGCATAAACCAGACGCCTGGGAACGGTCTTGACTTTGGGTTTACAGTAAAATGGGATATTTCCGGGATCTTCGTAGCATCAGTCGAAGCAGGTAAATCATAGATTTCGCTCTAGTGAAATTTCTTTTTCATTAACCTGTGCTGTTCAAATACCCTTCTCCCAACCCAGAAAATATTTCATTCGATATAGGAGAAAACATGTATGAATATGTAGCAATAAAGTGAGGAGACACATCCTCTTCCCTGAGACTAATAGTTAGAGTTACAAACCACATGTTTGTTCTCCTTGCCTAACTAATTTTAGTTTTGAAGTCTTAATTTTGTGCCTTTTACAGAAACACACACACCCATCATCATCACTAGCTTTGAGAAGAAAGTAAAAGGCTATTCCAAATCTCTAATCCAGGGAGGCAGGGACGGCCTCCAACTAAATGGTAGACCACGTGGGAAATTGATGCCCAATTAATTAAGTTTCACCAGCCTGGACTGGCTGGTTGCCTGCATTTTATTTTATTCACAGCCCAGACAGGGGTTACATAGTTGTCCCAGGAGACCAGGGGCGGCTTTGGCTCAAATAGGACAATTACAGGTGTAAAAACAAACCTGCTGGGCTGCAGTTGGGAGAACTGTGAGCCAGTGAGTGAGCCTAAGCTTCCATCCACTCCAAGGGTCCCCCTGGAAATGTCCAAAGGAAATGACTTCACTGGCCCTTAACTCTGCTCTGCTCCGCATCTATCTAGATTCTTCTCTAGGGAGGCAAGTGATGAATGCTTCTCACCTCCGCAGGAAGGTTTCCTCTCTGGCTTCGGGCGCTCCCCCAAGCCCCAAGCACCCCGCCCTAGACCGTGCCAGGCGCACAGGAAGCGCTCCAGGAACATCACCTACGGCATCCTCATTACTGTAATCTGCGCATCCCCTTTTGGGAAGGGGGAGGAAGAGCTGAGAGACAGGAGGTGGCAGCTGCCGCTAGCCGCGGGAGAAGCAAGCAGTCAAGAGGCCGAGGGGCCGCATTACCCATGCAGATGCCACTTCGGGCGCTGGGGTCCGCTCTGCGGTCGCAGAAAAGGCCACGGCCCTCCTCGCAGGGCTCCGTCTCGGAGCAGCTGTCGCCGCGCTGGCGGGCGCACACCAGACAGCGCGAGCGGTCATCCAGCACCGCTCTCACTCCGGGGGCGCAGGTCGGCGGCGTCTCCGGGCACTGCGCCGGGCACGGGGTGGGACAGGGCTCAGTCGCAGAGACCTGGGGGCGGGCGAAATGAGAAGGAAAAAGAAACCCCTCAGTAGGGACAATCGAAGGCGGAGTGACCCCGGGATCCAGCAGGGGTCGCCCAGGAAGGCAAAGCAACCAGGGGCACTATAGGGGTGCGCCACTTACCTGTCCCAGGAGTCGGAGGAGCAGGACAGCCAGGCAAAGGCACCGCTTGGGCAAACAGAGACTCATCCCCTGCACACTCTGCATGCTCAGGCTTTTCCCTCCCGCTTTCACAGAACGAGACTGTCTTAGCCGTGGATTGGCTCCGCTTGCCTCCCTCCAGGTCTGGCGGTCGCCTCCTCTTCCCAGCGCCACCAGCGCAGGTTTTATAGCTCGCTCCAGGGACGCGCACAAGCCGGTTGGCTGCAGTGCAGGGAGGAGGGGGGATCGGCTGGGTGGGGAATGGAATGAACCCCGGGGTTGCCATGGTAATTGGCCGTGGGTGCTGCTCTCCTTAGGGCGCGGCCCCGGGGCCTGCGAGTGCCTGTGTGTGGCGACTGGCTTGTCCCAGAGCTCCGGGAGGGGCTGGGTGGAGTCCCCAGGCCAGGACCCAGGGCTCGCTGGAGCGTGTGGGAAGAAAACGCCCGTTTCCTCCTGGAAGCTGCTTTGCCTTCCCCCAGGACTAAGACGCGGCCACTCCCCACCACACATCTCCGCCCTGGCGGTCCCCAGCGGGGCCGCAGACGCGGGGCTCTCCTGAAGTTTGGGGCCATCTGTGGGGGGTTGGCGAGAGGCCCAGGGGTTTAGTCATAAGGGAAGCACATGCAAGTTTGTCACCGTTGAGGGCACTCTTTGAATGTGTTGAGAGAGGGGAGGGAGGGAGGGAGGAAAGAAAGAAAGAAGAAAGAGAAAGTGGGGGCGGGGGCGGATTAACCCAGAAAATAAAAGAATTGAAAGTTAGGATGGGGGATGCTGCTGGCCCAATGAAAAAGTTCTTTTGACTCTCATCATCCCAAGCCCCACGGATTCTTAAACTCCCAATTCTGCAGGTTTTGTGCAAACGCAAGTAAAACATAGTAAAATAAAACTATTAGAGCCAGAGGTAATAAAAACTTTCTTTCTGGTAGATAAAAAGCTTGAAACACCTGCTGTATTGTGGCTGATGTAAAGCAGCACATCTCAAAATATAAGACGTTTCGAGGGTTTATGAAGTAGGTTCCGCTCAGCCACTGTCAAAACCTCAGTGAATCAGGGAAGGGAATGAGAAAGGTATTTGTTTTATTTAGCAGACCAAACCCTCTTCCACCTGGCATCAACTTTCAAAAAATGGCTATGTCATCTCTCATGAGAAGGAGAGCAGTTTTACTGCTCTGAAGGTGACGTGACTTGTTGGATTTAAAAAAAAAATTCTTCTCCCCTGTACTTCAACTTTGTTGCTACCTCTGGGGTAACTATGCCAGCTCCTTTGGTGATACCCACGTTGAAAAGGCACTTTATAAGAAAAATTATACAGGCTTGTGATGTAACGCTAGACCTTAAAAAGAAACAAATTGCCTCTACATCATACCTCTCCAGTATGAAGTTAAATCAAAAGCAGCTTGTGTAAGGGGCCAGGCCTGCCCCTGCAATGCCTGCCCCCTTGACGATGAAGTCACCTCGAGCCCCTTCAGGATAGTTCTCTGAGCGGCTTGGAACTGCTATTACATGCTTCCAGGTCTCCAGAAATTCTGCTTTCTTTGAGGTAAGCCAGACTGATCATGCTCAAAGCTTGACAAGAGAGCCAGCGGTTAATTTGTGCCATGTCCAGGACACTTGTATATTCTTCAAGTTGGTGGGCTTCATGGGTCATCTGGCCTAGTGATGCTTTTACCTGGCTGCCCATGAGAATCAACCACAGTACGTTTTTTTAAAAATGTAGATCCCTGGGCCCCGCCCTTGATCCAATCAGTTGGATTCTCTGGTGAGGGCTCTTGACAGCATTTTAATGTACTTTGAAATGGGAGCCAGCTTTGGGAAACCTAGATCTGGAACAAGTAGATACACAGCTAATGGGGAGGAAAGAATATCGGCCAAGTTTTTAAAGTATGAATAGACAGAATAAGGAGAAATGGGTAGCCCTGAGGTTGGGCTGACTCTGCCAGGAAAGGGGAAATGTTACTTCAAGATAAGGATAAAAATGTCCGAAGTCACTGTTAATGTGAGCTTCTTGATTGCCAGTGGAGAAACCAAACCAGAACTAGTGTCAGCAAGAAGACTTTCCTGGGAAGACGCTGAGGTGTTTCACATAATAACAGAATGGAAATGGTGCTGCTAGGCCTCAGGGGCAAGTAGGACCAGGGGTTTGGTGGTGTCAGGACTCCATTTTTCTATCTATCTTCAGTGCTTCTCTGTGGATTAGCTTTCGTGTGTCCCATCACAGACCAGCTTCTTCTAGATAAAGGAAGTATCATCCTTAAATTCTCCACAACCTCTTCGAGTACAGCCTTATCACCACAGAAGGAATGCCCCTCTCCCTTAGGCTCAATTTCGAAAATTCCAGGAAAGGAGTCTCAAGACAAGTGAGAAGACAAGACAAGTTCAGAGATTGGCTACACCGCATAGTTGGGGTGGGGAGGAAGTATAGTTCCCCAGTAAAGAAGGAATTATTCTTTAAAAAGGGAGCAACTTGATGGGGCAAAACAATACTTATATACACTTCCGTCTGCTGTAAATGCTCTTGGGTAACGATTTCCATGATAAAACAATTGGAAATTGAAAGTGAAGCCACCTAATGGTAGCTCTGTTAGTGGGTCATGCTTTGATACCTCCAGGATATCTTCTCTTGCTGGGATAGATTTTGTTCTCTCTGGAGGCCTGGCGTCCATTGCTTTTGTCTTAAATCTCTTGACTCATTGAATAATGATGTGTCTGGTTCTGTGTCTGTCTCCGTCTCTGGCTGGAAGCGCTGAAGGACAGGGAGCATGTCACACTCTCCGTGACACCCCCAGCACCTACTTCAGGGATGGACAGATGGACAGTTGTTCTTGGACCTTCTGAGGTACTGCAAACTTCACGTTAAGTTTCGTCACTTGTCACTGCTCTGCATAAGAGGAGGTAAGAAAGAATTGGAAGCTGTTTGTTTCTCAGCAGCAATAGAGGCTAAATTGGTCCTATCAGCCAGCACCCAGCTGCCTCTGACATGCACCTTCTCTCTGTCTTTCCTGGTACAAAGAGTCTAAAGAGAGCATACAGGCTGGTGATCTTCTCCTGTTTGGAATAAACTGTGTGTCAGTTGAGGTCTCTGGGAGTCAGGGGACACCCTCTCAGAGACTACTCACGAATGACTGGGCTAGGTTGCCACCCAAGATGGCAGCTCCCCTGGGTTGTGAAATGCAAGTACTTTGATCGGTTCACCTTTTCCTTTTCATTTCTTCCTCCCCCCGGATGTGGTACCAGAGACTCATTTCTGCCTCTGTGTCTCAGATAGGCTGTTAATCGACTTATATTCTTACACTTCTCAGTCAATACTCCTACCCAGAACACATTTAGAGAAATTCCTACATTTTATAAAAGTCAGCTTTCATGTAGGTTTCCAAGTGTTTTATCTTTTTCATTATAGAAAAGATTTTAAAAATATATCGGCGCTTACTTCTGTAGCAAGCAAGAGAAATATAAAGCACAGAGACTCGCATTAAAAATGAAACAAATAAAAAGCAGGGACTACGATGTTATCACCTGTAAGACAATTCCATCCCTCTCCTCCCCTCCATGATTACGTTCTCTGTAAACTCAGAGACATTCACTGCGTCTTTGGTTATTGTTCAGCCGAGGCACATGTACTTAGCTCTCATAATGTGTCTCATAAATCAGTCTCACAGTTCCGTAATAGTTTTGTTACCCTTTTCTGAATTTCCTTCATACGTCCCTTTTCTGGGGCCCCAGGGAATTGGTCGAAGACAAGGTAATTCCCATTATATGGTAGGCAGGCCAACCTTACGTGGTATCCAGTTACACGGCTAATTTCAATTACACTTTTTTGTTTTTCTGACAGATCCTTTGACTTGCTTTTTCAGAAACTGTGAAGGGCAGAGAAGAAACAGTAACAAGAGCTAAAACTTTAAATATATAATGTTTAGTGTTATCCACTTTGGAAACATCTTCCTATTGCCCACCTTTTAAAAATTTATTTTTGGTACTTTTTTAAAGAAAACAAAAATCTAGGAGATGAAATAAAAAGGGAATTTGAGCTAGAAATTAGCTAAAGATGTAAGAAATAGGTTAATTTCTCCTTTGCTAAATGACTTTCTTATAGGGAAATGGGCTCTTTGGAAGTCAAATAACTTTTTTTTTTTAAAGTTTTTTGAATTAGAATAGCATCTATGAAGCTTATATACATTCCACATTCCCAGCCACCAGGTAACAGCACTAACTATTCCAACATCCAGCTGAAGAATGACTTTCTTTTAGGGAAATGGGCTCTTTGGAAGTCAAATAACTTTTTTTTTTAAAGTTTTTTGAATTAGAATAGCATCTATGAAGCTTATATACATTCCACATTCCCAGCCACCAGGTAACAGCACTATCTATTCCAACATCCAGCTGAAGAAAGTGGCCCTGAGGAATTCTTCTTATGTGAATTCTCAATGGCTGGTAACAGCTGAGTGCAGTAGAACCAGTCTAGCTTCACCGACCAGAATCCTTTAGAGCAGGAACTGGTGTCAGAGAGAAAGGTACATGCATATGGACTGGACATCGGACTAGCCAATAGCTTCTCAGGAGTGCTCCATATTGGATGATGGTGGACCCAACTCATGAGTGCTGGTGGCTGTATGTGCTAGTGTAACAGAGACAAGGGAAGTGATGTCACTTAAATACAGACAGGGTCCCGAATAACTTCAAATGATTGTTCCTGGAGAAAGAAAAACTTGGGATTCTTTTTGAGCATCTCTATTTCCAAATGAGACACCTCAGAGCCTAAGAAAGCTTATCCAGCCTTTCCCACCTTATTTCTGAATTCTCAACAACAAATAACTTAGACTTTTAGGAGAGGCATAACCACAGAACTGCATTGCATTTGACAATGTAAATATTCGTAATGGCCAAGTCATTTATTGATAACTATTTTGCACTTCATGGCATGAATCAAAGAAAAATAAGATGTTTTCTGTCCTCAAGGATTTTATAGCCTAGTAGGAAAATGAAGTACAAAATAACCATTGCATAAGGCAGAATGGGATAATTCCTATAAATAAACATAGGCAAGGTAACACAGGTGCATAAGAGAGGGTGCCATGAATTTCTTTGCTGGGGAGGGAGTGTTGGGAGAACTATAATTCCATGTTCATTGTTTGTCTTTGCACGAAACCATGTTGCCTTAAGGCTAAACAACATTGAGTTGGATTAAGCACGTATAGGATTTTGAAACCTGGAGAGGTGGGCTGAATAGAGACAGTGGAACAAGGTCATATGG